GAGGGGAAGAGGAAAGTAATCCAAGGTCGCAGCTCGTATAGAGTTGATGTGCCTGGCAACGGGATGCTTGCTGTGGCCCCTGCCTGATGCCGGTTTGCAGCCCCTACTGCCGTGGTCCGTGTCCCAACATTAGCGAAGAGCTCCCATGGGAATGAGATGGTTGTTTTCTCACCCCTCCCATGCTCGACATCCCTGTAAGAAATCACATCATGAGGTAGTTGGATGACGTGTTGCAGCAAATGTTTTTATTTGTTGCCATGATACAGAAAATTTGTTGCAGCATCAACACCATGTTGTATCAAGATATATTTCTGAATTTTATTAACAATTCTTTTTTTTTTTTTACCTGTGATGGTTTGTTGTGTTTCGATATATATATGCTGCCTTCAGAATGTCTCCGTTGCTATTTTAAAATGTTTCAAGTACTTCTTTCCAAAAGTTTCAGTGTTTATATCATTGCTGTTCCAACGAAGATTTTGAAATGTTCCAACAACTACTGTTTTCTCAATGTTTCTATCCTAGCTCCAGGCATTGCAACCTCAGGGCATTCAATGCAGATGCAGGGTTCCCTTTTACTACGTTAGCAAGGTGTAGTAGTAGGTTCATCTCAGCAGTTGACTGCGGCATGTTTGGGTACGAGGGTTAATTGTTAGATAGCAAAATTAGCTCTAGCAACTAGTTTGTTAGCTAACTTCAGCTTATTTAGACTAATTTTAAGCTTCAACTAATAACTAGTCCTAACTGATTTAAACAGACTCTAGATCTAATAAGTGGTTGGGTGGAGATCCGGCAAGATCTGGCTTATTGTGTGGTTATCCTGAACCGAGTAGTGGTTGGCTGCGCCACAAAGGCAGGCAAGGCTACCGAAATAGGGGCATGTTAGGGCAGCTCCAACAATGGCTTATGAGTCAGCTCTAAACATTGTATTTTATATTTTAATAGAAGAGAGAGAAAAGCTAGCTCTTGATTAAAAGCTAGACTCACATATTTCAAGATCATGTGAGGTTATCTGGTTCTTACTGTTGTGGGCGGGTGTCCTTGGGATTTTTTTACCCTCCTGTATCCCAATATAAACCTTATATAATAACAATAATAAAATATTTTGAAACAAGAAATACTAATCACAGATATGCTAACTTTAGTTTATTATGTGGTTTTTCCATGATTAGGTAGAACATCTTCATGACTTACGTGTACTCCTACTAACGAACTTCTTCATGATTTCCATCTAGGAAAGGAACGGGAGAAAGCACGGCCTCTTGTTAGCCTTTTTCAGCGTGGTGCATCATCCCATGCAATTTACCAAGCACTCGTCCAAAGGTCCCATAATACACCATATTATTAAGGCATAAGCACCAATAAGTAGCATTAATGCACTTCCCTCCATAAAGTTGTCCACCGCTGCCAATAATGTTGCTTGCTGCCGTCGTCGTGGTCATTGTCGTGCTCCTAGTGTCACTATCCTCTTTGGTTTGCCCTGATAAAGATCAATCGAATTACATGCAATTTCATGAGGAATGAACGCTGCATATATCTATACTTACCAAAAAGAAAATTTGTGTAATTCATTGATTACCACTTATTACACGTGCATGAAGGACAGAGGAGGATGCCAAAAGAAATATGGCAAACATCCAGAGTACTTGGATGCTGGTGTGCTTCAGAAACTTCGCCATGGGTGATAGAGGAGAGCTAATATATACCATGTGTTGGTCAGAATGTGTCTACTATTAACTGCTGCGCCATGGTTAATATATAAATACACTCCACAGTCAATAGATATTTGTCTATCTGCTGTCTATGTATATCTATCTATCTGTCTATCTATCTATCTATATTCATGTGTCTCTACCTGTCTACCTATCTCTGTCTCTTTGTCTATCTATTTGTCTCTTCTATGTATGTATGTCTATCTGCCTTTGTCTGCATCTATCTGGTAATCCATATGTGTACCGTCGGAACCTTGGTACAACTTTCTACGTACCGTCGGACCATCCATCGCTTGGTCATCGGACCAAATGGTCATGTCGATCATCAAACACCAAAATCCAAATTAAATGGGTCAAGGGACCATTTTCCTTACGACCATGAACCTTCGGGAAACCCTCGATCGGAAGCCCTCCGGATGGACCTGATGGCCCAACGGGCTGGGACACGACTCGACAAGGGCCCATTTGGAAAGGCAGTTGCTAATTTAAAAGTCCCTCTAGCCTTGTGACTATGTGTATTGGATAGCTGAAAATATTCCAACATATTCTGTACTAGGCAGGGAGCATTTACATACATGAAAATATGTGTAATGCTACATAAAAGGGGGACTCAAATTCCAATAAAGAGATAGACATCTTTTTGGATCAACTACCAAGAACCCTTGTCTCAGTAATAGCGCTTGGTCTAGCGAAGGCCTACCTTCAGCGTCACGGTCGAACCCAACATTTAGGAAACAAAAATGTATTTTCGAAGTTTATGGACTTAGACACACCTAGACAAGTTTAGTGCTGCTCATGCATTTATTCTCTCTATTCACAAAAAAAATGCAACTATGGTTTGACCAAATCTAGAGTTAATAGTATTCACATTTATGTCTCTATATCGATTTATTATGAAAATATATTTCATAATTACTTTAATGTATTTATTTTGTATTATAAACATTAGAATTTTTACTATAAATTCGGCTAAACTTAAAAGCATTTGATTTTTCGAAAAATGAGAATTATATTCTTTTTTGGACTAATTGAGTAACTCTTTGGCCTCCTTTGGTTGGGTTTCGTTTCCTCTAAAAAGGCTCTGGCTCTAGCTTCTGGTGAAGCTAGAGCCATTTTGGAAAATGTTTAGCAAAAACTGCTCTAATTATAATTTTGTAAAAATTTGTATTAGGTTTGTAAGGTGGAGTTAGGAGAAGCCACTTTTTTCGCTCCGGCTCCTCCGGGTGGCTTGCGAGGAGCCATTTTTTACATGCTCATTTGGCACGACTGCATGCAAGAAGCCACGAGAAACTGAAGCCGACACCCATAGCTGACTACATGCTCATTTTGCGAGGAGTCATTCTGTTTGGAACCCATAGCTCTATGCGTGTCTCCTTCCCTTCCTAGCTCCCTAGAAGCCGACACCCACAGACCCACCGACAAGGGGACCACCACGCTCCATGCAGCGTGCCGCACGCCGGCTCTGCGCAAAGGCAATGTGCCACCTCCGGTCTGCTCCACCACGCCACAAAGATAAGCATGGCCCGGCCTGAAGCACGCCATTTTGGCTCGGCACGAGCACAAGCACCGCCCGCCCCGATGCATAGGATTGTGCCTAGGCCGCTCCCCATGCGTGTCGGGCAGCACGGCACGGCCTGGTAAGTAGCTTGAGGCCAAGTAAAGGCCCGGTATCATAGTCAAGAGTCGTAGGCGCATAGCATGGACGCTCCTCTTCCCTCGCACGACCTCTCCTCATAGCGCAGACGGCCGAGCGCCTCCTCCTCTCCTACGCGACCTCTCCTCGCAGCGTCGATGACCGAGCGCGAACGCTGACGCTCCCTCCCTCTCCTCCCTCCCCAACGCAAGATCCGGTGTTAAGGTCCCTAAGGGCAAGCTCACCGGTGGCCGCCACCACCTCCTGCTGCCAGTAGCCTCCTCGACTCTTCTGCAACGCGACGGCAGGAGCTCCCCCCACGGGGCCATGGTGACGCGGGTCATGGACTTGCCCAGCCTACTAGATTGGCCATGCTTTTTGGGGCGGCTCTGAGAAACGGCCCGACAGGTCATGCCTGGACCAGGCATGAAGCCCAGCTCAGGCACAGCCCGGCGGCACGTCATGCCCTGCCTGGTCCGGACCGATAGGGCGGGCAGCCCAAATGCTCATCTATATATACCACACCTTCGCCACTCCACTTGTAGACTCGATACTCGCACATTCTAGTGGCTTTTATCTGTGTACCATTATAAAAGAGGGTAATTACTCATAAGCCATTAAAAAAGTTAAGTTCTCACATGTGCCACTGCTCTAAACTCTTTTATCCTCCACGCCACTTCCGTCAGACTTGACTCTAACGGTGTCAAACTACGGTGTGAAAAGTCGAAAATACTCTTAGGTATGAAAAAAAACTCAAAACTACATAGTTATAAATCTCGACAATATCTACAATTTTTGTATAAAAAATATCTTCATTTGATTCTATACGTAAAATATATGATTTGATATGTTTAATATGTCTTAGAAAAATCATATTTTTTTGTACGGAATCAAATGAAGATAATTTTTATATAAATATTGTAGATCTCGTTGATGTCTACAACTTTCTAGTTTTGAGTTTTTTTTATTTTAGATCATTAAGATGTTAAAAAAATTAATAATATATTCAGATCTGAGGGTATTTTCGACTTTTCATACCTGTAGCTAGACAACGTTAGAGTCAAATGTGATGAAAGTGACGTGGAGGAAAAAAAAAAGTTCTCAGCAATGACATATATGATAATTCAACTTTTTTAAGTAACTCGTAGGTAATACGGTCGGAATCCCTAAATGGCACACGGCTAAAAACCTCCACATTCTACAGCATCCGGTTTCTCCCGTCTCTCGACTTCGCCGCCGGATCCCCTCCAAGCTCCAGCAGATTTCGAGGTTTCTACTTAACTACTTTGATCCTCTGCCTTCTCCCTTCTTTTCTTCATCGATGGTGATAGCTCTCTCCCACTCATCAGCGAATGTGTGGTTTCTAACCTGTGGCCGATTGTTTTATCCTTCTCCCCACTTTGGGCAGACTTTGCAGTCAACCTCTCTTTGAAGCGGATCTCTACATTCTACAAGATTACAATTGCGAGCAAAGCTTCTGTTGAGCTGTGGTTGGTTCGTGTTCTTGAATCAGCTACCGGACTCGAACAATGTAGGTTTTGTCTCGATGGTCACAATGTTTCCTCGAGTTCACACCACATGTTCGACGGAATGTCCCTGAGGTCGTCCAACAAGAAGACCCGACTATGGACACGCCCAGCAGTAAGAGCGCGAGAGGGATGGACGCCGGAGACAGGATCAGCGACCTCCCCGATGAACTGCTCCACCATGCCATGTCCTTCTTGCCGGCAAGGGACGTCGTTCGCACGTGCGTGCTGTCGACTAGGTGGCGTCACCTATGGGTGTCCATGCCGTACCTCAGTGTCGACACCGGGGATTTCATCAACCAGAGAAGCTTCATCAAGTTTGTGACTTCGTTGCTTCTGAGTCGTGGTTGCGGACCTCTGGATTCGTTCAGACTGGATGCCAATGGGCCTGGCATCTTTCTTGAAAATTTCCGTGACACTGCCTGCCTGTGGATCTGCCATGCCCTGAGGAGCAATGTTCATACACTAAGCATTATGGATCACGAGTTGAAAGAGGAAGGGGAAGGGGAAAGCGAAGAGAGACCTGATGCCTTCTGGCTTGGCCACTGTCCCTTCATGTCATTGTACTTGAAAAAATTGCATCTCCGTGGTGTTAGCGTGGACAAATGCTTTGCGAAGAATCTATTTTCTGGCTGCACAGCATTGGAAGACCTAGATATGATAAACTGTGTGATCCTTGCCACCGAATTTTCCTCCACCACATTGAAGAGGCTGAGCATTGACTATCATGGTTTCTGCCGCAGTGAAGGGTATGACTATGAAGACATTGTGATAAACATGCCTAGTCTCATCTCACTTCACATTGGAGCACTTTGTGCAATGCTGTCTCTTGTGGATGTTCAGTCATTGATAACAGCCTCAGTTTGCTTGGATGATCAGAATGCAACATTTGCTGGTGCTTGCAACATTCTTGGTGCTCTTTCAAGTGTGAAGAACTTGGAGTTGCTGTTTCCAGTGTGTGTGGTATGATTTATATGGAACTGCGACACTTGCAGCTACACCCTTTTTTCTGTCTGTTCTATAACAGAAGCAAGGTTTTTTTTCACAAGTTTTTCATGTTAATAGCTTTTTTTGTACGTACTGACTTTACAGGGAGGGGAGTATTCATTGCAAAGTAATATCCAGTTGTGTCAAGTGGAGTTTACCAATTTGACAACTGTCCATCAGTGATTGGTGTTTACATGACAACTGCAGAGTGCTGCTGTATATGCTTAAGCATTCACCAAATCTAGTGGAACTTACTCTGAAGATGAGAGAGGTATTTTTGTCAGGATTACCCTGCAGTTTGGCAGGCCAAGCTATATACATTCGGTCAATTTCATCAACGCAACTTATGCTAATGACTGACATGTACTTATTCTTTTTTGTTCTTCTTGGCAGCTTTTTGGTAGTGAACATTTTGCATTGTGTCGTAGTATTGCTGCTGTAGATTGCCCATTCAAAGAAACAATGAGACGATTCCAATGTGAAAAGCTCAAGAAAGTTGAAATCATCTGCCCACAGGGCGACCGAAGGGTGGGAATGCTGGTGACAATACTTTTGACCAGAATAATATCACCCCCTGAAATTAGTGTTAAGCCATCTCCAGATATTCCATGGTAAGTTTCTTATTCCCTTGAAAATTTTCATCTGAATTGTTTACAGTTTATTTTGTTGTGAATCAAAAGGTGCTGTTTTCAGTTTTCACTTACTCTGGCTTGACATGTAGGAATACTGCCTATTTTTCCTACAAATGGACGAGTTTGGGCTAGTGCTTAGAAGATTTCTTTGCCCTCTCGCTCACCTTTGGATGACTGTAGACTGTAGTTGTGAGAATGGACAACTGCCAGCATGCAGCGCCAATGGTTCTCTCCGAGACTCTGCTCTCTGCTCGGACTGAGCTTTTGCTTGTCACTGTCGTGTTCTATGATTCTGTCCACCTTTCTAATTCATGCTTCAATGTATGCCCAGAGATTGCGCATTGTGTTACACCCCTTACTTGTTTTCGTCGAAACGACTCTTCTCTATTATGTTGTGGACAATGCACGTCTGGCGGCAGCATTCGATTGGCAAGTGTTTTGTGTGCTATAGATGTTCCGATTCAGCATGTGGTCAAATACTATGCAGCCGTGCACATGTCGATTCTTGATGAGCTTGCAGTTGCAGGAGATGTTTATCGTGGTGGTTTAACAGCTTCAAAAGGTTTACTACAGATTGCAGTTTGTTTGTGATGATGCACTGGAGCATGCAGCGGATTTCAATTTCATTTCTTTGTGGCATCCATGCTCCTTTGTCGATCAAATTGAATCATTTGTGTTGCCACATATTCATGCGAAAACCTATTCCTTATTATATTCTCACATATTCATGCTGGTAACAAGATTACATCTTTGTATGCGTCGTTCAATCAAGTTTCTCCAACAACACGGTTGACGATGGAACCAGCCATGCATGGACTGATGGGAGAGCTAGCTCAACGGCTGGAGGCTGGAGGGCTGCAGCCAACCTTGCAGGGGCAGTTTTTGACGCACTCCGTCAGTTGTGACCAGCACTGGTTGTCTTTGCTGCAGCAGAAGATATCCGTGTCATGGACGTTCTGGTTGTAGTGACATCCATTGAAAATGTCGTCTTTCCTGCCCCTCCTGGCTTCTTCAGTGCTCTGACCTAAACATGACAGAGATATAGGAAAAACAATTGATAATCGGCAATTGCAAACCAAAAAAATGAACACAATGGTGAAATTCAAAAAAAAAAATGAGCACAAGAGATTGATAAGTTTAGTTACCGCTGATGGGTGCAGGAATGACAGAGAATGTCAAGAGAAGCAATGCAAGCAGCAAGAGTCCTTGGCTGCTGCTGCGCTTCACAAATGTCGCCATCCTCACTGACGATGAAGTCTGTGCTAGTTTTCTCTAATTGACTGGTGAGTGTTTGAGATCTGGTTGCTCCGGGGTTGATATATGTACCTATATATAGTCATATAGAGCAGGGAAAGTTAGCACGAAATAAGTGCTAGCTATCTTTGTGGAATCTTTTTATTTATTTCCAAAATTAAAGTTCAGCTTTATTGTACTGCTAAACATGGCAGATATATGTTGATATCTAACGTTTATTCATATACTTACAGTATAGGAGTAGCTAGTTTAACGCCAAATAAAGACAAGAATTATTAGCTGCTCTTTTATTATGGGCATATTTATTATCTTCCATTTCTATAACATTGGGTATCTATATAGCAACCCCCATTAGCATCCTATCATGACAGCTATCTTTTCATTCAATTTATCCACGGTTATCGCCCACTAGCTAGAATTATAATGAGACTTTTACCTACTCGCCACTAAAAAATCAAAATTCCATAGCTGCTACCAAAAAAGATGTACGTACTAATGGACAATGCCGAATTTTTCTCGTGACCTTCCCATCTTTCTCAAAAGGGTGATTTTGCCACCTCCTCCTTAGATGCATCCCTGTGGTCAACTGGCGACATTCTGCTAAAGCCTTGAGTGCTTGCTGCTCCACGTCCTAAGAGCGAGAGGGAGTGTTAATGGGTCATTTGTAAAGGCGGCAGTGGCAGACCTATGATTTTAAAATATGGTATATTGGTATATGTCCAAATTCAAATAGAACTTGTCAACTATAATGTTGTACGTAGATCACATTAAGTATTACAGTACTGTTATAGACCATGCCAAAATTCAAAGTTTTGTTTTTTAAAATATAAATTTTAATTTTCAAAATCTGAGGATTGATATGAATTTTTGGAATTTTAAACAGTTTTAAATCATAAACTTATCATCTACAAAATTGTATATCGGGTCAAGTTATACAATTTTGGTATATAATTTGTCTTTGTCCCACTTTATACGAAAAAGTTATGAATTACTTTTTAGATAATTATTACTATATAATAGGTGGGGCCTATTAATTGATTTCTAAAAATTACTATTTTTCAGAGACAGATGTATTAGGATTGCGATATTAATCAATTTACAGGGTGTCGCGGTCGCCTCTGTAAAAATACTAGGTGGTCTCCTTAGAATACCCACATGATTATAAGTGGCTATGCCCTTCTAGCAATTTATACGGACGTATCAATCATGGTACAATGTTTTTTTCTCTCACAATAAATCAGCGAACAGTACTTTTCAGTATGGCTTTTCAGCCAAGCGAATAGGGCTGTCGGTAACCAGCTCCGGCGACAACGGCCGGGAGTGGAAGAGGGCGGGCCTGATCCGCCGCGTCATGTTGTCCCGCCGGCACACCGCCACGCGCCCACGCCGCACTTGCCCCACCGCGCGCGCTGTGCTTGCCATACGCGCAAGTGCGCCCTCCCACACACACATCGCTCGCTCGCACCATGATGTTCGCCTAATGATGCATCGCCGCCCGCCACATCGTGCTTGGCAGGCTGCACCGTGATGCCGCACCTGATCCCCCCGCTCGCGCCCGTGCTGTTGCACCACGCTCGCCTTGCCAGCGCCGTGTCATCTCGTGCCTCACCTCACCGCCCCATGCTGCCACGATAAGCCCCTTGCGGCCTTGCCTTACACCAGGACGAGAGGGAGCGAGAAATGAGGATGGGGAGATATGAAAAAGTGGACGCAGAGACAGAAAATGGCAGCAGAGCTGGAGAAGTGGATGTAGCCATGACCAATCATATTTTCAGGGATAGGCTAGCATCCGGACGTCCAAGTGCATGCATGTCAGCATGCTCATGCCTGCTGCCCGCCCGCGCGTACACGGGATCCGCTCGGACAGGCGGGAAAGCCTCGCATCACTCTGTTTCCCTTGCCGCTCTGTTTCCCGGGCCGCTCCTTTTCCACGCGCATGCAAGTGAAGACCGCCCACGCACACAGAGACTGCTTGCGCTTGCTTCCCGTGTCTACTGATGAAATACTTACAATATAAAACACTTGTTGCAACATATGTCTGAAACAGATAAAATATTTGAATATACCTTGCAACATATGTGTATAGCCACTACAACATATACAATATTTAGATAAAACACTTACAACATACATCTGAAGTAAATGAAACATTTTGAATACATATTTGCGACATACGGGTGTAGTCATTACAATATATATATGTAACATCCATATAAAACACTTACAACATATTACAACGTACCTCTAAAATACCTGACACATACGTTTTCAGGACAATATAGGTGGGCAACGCGGTGGAGGCAGACCTGTGGAACAAGTCCGGGCGGGCAGCGCATTGGAAGCGGCCGCGGGGGCCGGGGCGTGGGACGGGTGGGGGCGGCGGTCCGTCCAGACGTTTCATCCATCGGTTAAATTATGTTACGTCTGAATCTGACGTCATATATATCATCCACTAGTATTCATTTATGGTAGTCTATCTCTAAGCTATCTATACTAGTCAACCAAATAAGCTAACAATTATAGGTCGTATGATCTGCATTTCAACATATATGACAGTCCAAACCATATATGTAGTGATTTTTATATTATATTTTAGGTTTTACTTGACACGGTTCGTCTTCCCTAGAGGAGGTATTTTTTTTGTTTGTTTGTTGTCGCTCCATAAGCAGCTCTATCGATGTAGCTAAAGTTTTTTTTTGAACTATTTAGCAAAACGGCTCTATATGTGAAGCCCATTAAATATGCTATCATAAATTCCACCAAGGGATCTATCAAATCGAGTTGAAGCTACTTAAAATATGTTAAATATGTTTTATAAGGGATCAATGTGGAATGAAGCGCTTGAAAACATATTTTAAGTAGCTTCACATATGTGAAGCTGTTTGAAAAAATGTCTCTTGGCACAAAGCAGCTTTAAACAACTTATGAAGGTGATGAAGAAGTTGTATCAAACGGGGGCCTAGTAGGCCACTCTCTGCTTTCACTTGTAAGACGCGCAAAAAGATTAACACCATTCTTTTGCCCCACATTTCTATTTGACATTTATTTGGAAATTTCAGCATATTATATGGGCATGGGCCTAGCACACATCATAAATTCCAAACAAGTGACGTGTTTTCTCCCTTTAAAATGTCAGTTTGAATTTTAGAAACGATGTTATGCACTTGCCCATTTCATTTCGAAATTGCCAAAATCTAAATCCACTCCGCCTCATCCTCTCTTTCGTCTGCGTTCTCCTTTCCGCACGCTGGCTTCCATTAGAGACGGCGGCGGCGGCCGGCTGGCCTCTTCTTCCTCAATGGGAGGGAGTACGACAACAGGAGATCGATCCCTGCTACAGCTAGCGCCGGTGCCCGGCATGCCGGCATGAATATCTCTATGCGTGTGCCCGAAAAGTTTCTGGAACGCGTGTATTCATTGCCAAAACCTATCGTTTATTCTCAGTTGCTGTCAAGATTACATGTATCTTTGGCGACGGTCTGTATACATCAATCAATCAAGTTTCTCAAATAACAACACGGTTGATCGATCAAACCAGACCATAGAGAGCTCAACGTCTAGCCGCAGTTCGTCTTGCAGGGGCAGTTGGCGGTGCACTCCGGCAACGATGGCCAGCACAGGTTGTCCTTGCTACAGCAGAAGAGCGCCGACAGATCATGCGATTCTGGTTGTAGTGACATCCGTTGAGTATGTCATTGTCGTCATGGATGATCGCCTTGTTGTCGCCGACCATCATCTTGCTCTTCCTGCCGTCTATGCTCTGACCTGAATAACGTCTCAAACAGATATTACTCCTCTCATGTCGAAGGAAAACAAACGCATCGACAAAAATATGAGATTGATTCGTGCACTTACCACTGATGGGTGCAGGAATGGCAGAGAATGCAAGAAGAACCAATGCAAGTAGGAAGAGTCCTTGGCTGCTGCTGCTGCTGCGCTTCACGACTGTCGCCATTGTGACTGAGTGGTGACTGGTGAGAGGGTCGAGTGCCGGTTGCTCCAGGGTTGCATCGGTGTTTATATAGCTGGAAAGATTAGAATGAGATCAATGCGTGGTATCCTGGTGGCTTCGTTTATTTATTATTTAACGTTTAAACATCAATACACTGCCTCCGTTCAAACATCAATACACTGCCTAACGTTTAAACAAGGCAGTAGACATTAATTCATTCAAATACTACCTCCGTTCAAAATAAATAGATTCCTAAAATCACTTAATCAAACTATCTTAATAGTTAAATTTGACAAAATTTATAGGAAAAAAATTAAGATTGTCTTTGATACTAAATAAGTACATTTTCATGATGAATCTAGTGATACTAATTTGTTGGCATAGATACTGCTATTTTTTTCGATAAATTGTGTCCAACTTAAAATAGTCTGACTTATTAGGTCAACTCTAGAAGTTGATTTATTTTTGTCAAACTTAAAGTTCTTTTATTCTTAATTTCAAATATTGCTCATTTAGTGCCAAATAGAGAGTAATTATTTAGATCCTTTGTTATGGGCATATTCTATATCCTTTGGTATAGCTTAGGTGTACTCTAATTTTATGGGTTTCCAAACTTAGCATGTTTAAAAAAAACAAAAAACTTGTCCTGATAGTGCATTGAATATTTTGTACTCCCTCCATTCTAAATTATAAGACATTTTGGCTTATTTCCTGCAACACAAAGTGATTAGGCACTGTTAAAAAATCGATGCAACACTATCGATACCGGACCGCATGGTATTCTTCACAACACCAATCTTGCTTCTTTCAACTTGAGCTTCACCTATTATGCTGTAGATGCTTCTCATAGGTTGTGTGCTAATAAAGTTTCCTACACACAAACAAACATGATGCGCGCAGATAGATAGAAATACAAAATATCCTAGTAAAGCACAAAGGAGACACAATTTGTTTTACCGAAGTTCAGGTTCCCACTTGAACCCTATGTCTCCATTAAGGAAGCCATGATTGACCACCTGCAGTCACGCTGTAG